AACATTAGGAAGAACTTCTTCACAGTTCGAGTGGCCAAGGTCTGGAACGGGCTCCCAAGGGAGGTGGTGCTCTCCCCTACCCTGGGGGTCTTCGAGAAGAGGTTGGATAGGCATCTAGCTGGGGTCATCTAGACCCAGCCCTCTTTCCTGCCCATGCAGGGGGTCGGACTCGATGATCTATTGAGGTCCCTTCCAACCCTAACATCTATGAATCTATGAAAATGCTACAGTTCCTGAGGGACAGGAGATACCTACAAAGGGCAAAAGGAGTTGAACAGTAACTGTTCATGAACACAGGAACCACAACTGTTCCTGGCCCTTGCAGGGTTAGGAGGTGAAGGGAGAAGGTTGCTTGCACCTTTCTGCTCTTCTGCACTTTTCCTGTTACCATTTAGCAAGTCAGCCTGGCTTCTTTTCACAGAATCATAGAACCCCAGAAAATTAGGGTTGAAAGGGACCTCAGGAGGTCATTTAGTTCAACCCCCTGCTCAAAGTAGGACCATTCCTAACTAGATCATTCCAGGCAGAGCTTTGTCAAGCCAGGCTGTAAAAACCTCCAAGGTTGGAGGCTCCATCACTTCTCTAGGTAATCTGTTCCAGTGCTTCATCAAAGTTTTTCCTAATATCCAAATTAAACCTTCCTTGCTGCAACTTGAGATCATTGCTCTTTGTTTTGTCTTCTGTCACCACTGAGAACAGTCTAGCTCCATCCTCTTTCAACTCCCACCCCACTTCAGGTAGTTAATGCTACTATGAAATCCCCGCTCAGTCGTCTCTTCTTCAGACTAAACAAGCCCAGTTCCCTCAGCCATGCCTCAGAATTCAAGTGCCTCAGCCCCTTCACCATTTTTGCTGTCCTCCACTAGACTCTCTCTAACTTGTCCAAATCCTTTCTGTAGTTGCGGGGGGTGGGAAAGAGGGGCAAAACTGGACACAGTACTCCAGATGTGGCCTCACCAGTGCAGAATAAAGGAGAATAATTACTTCCCTTGATCTGCTGCCAATGCTCCTACCAATGCAGCCCAGTATGCCATTAGCCTTCTTGGCAACAAGGCCACTCTGCTGGCTCATATACATCTTGTTGTCCACTGTAACCCCCAGGTCCTTTTCTCCAGAGCTACTGCTCAGCTAGTCAGTCCCCGGGCTGTAGCAGTGCATGGGATTCTTCCATCCTACATCAAGGACTTTGTTCTTGTCCTTAGTAAACCTCATGAGATTTCTTCTGGCCCAATCCTCCAAGATATCTAGGTTTTGCAGCTCTTGGTTCTTCCTAAATAAATTCCCTCTTTCTTTCCCCAAAGCTTCATTTAAAAAACCCCACAGCTTCCAGATACATCAATGAAATGTCTCAAGACAATAAGATGGCCACACTTATCTCAACAAGACTAGTTGCAAGTTGGTTAAAGGTCTTTACTCCCTTGCAAGTAATTCCCAGTGCTCCCTGATGACCACGTAGGCTGCAAACACTTAAAGTTGGGTTCAAGGCAGCTGGGAAGCTGTGATTCATAACAAGTAAATCAAGAATGTTTTATGAAAACTTGTAGTAGTTACTCAAATGTGTTTTAATGAAGTTCTGACAACTGATTGCAACCTTTGATAGGTAGTTACTGCATGAAAAGAGATGCTTGCTTGCAAGGGCAGATCCAGGAGGAGTTGCAACAGCATGGTCACACCACCCATCTTGGCTATGTCATACATGAGCTCTCAGGGTCTGCTTAGAGTGCTTAGTTTTAGTTCTAGAGCATAGAGGGTGAGTGCTGATGCTGCCCCTTGTCCCCTCCTTTCCTTGCTGCTGAATTCAGCAGGGAGGAGGATGGAAGAGAAGAGTGAACAGCAGCGGTGTTCACCCCTGCGCTCCAGAGCCATGAGAAAGCAGAGGCTCTGGCCAGACCCCATCCCATCAGCTGGTGAGCTCAGAGCTCACCTCTCATGCACAGCTCCAACAGGAGCCTGCTCTGACTGACCTGTGAGTTCAGAGCTCACTGTGTATGTACAACACAACCAAAGTTGGGGTGGGGGGGCCACACTACCCTTGCCCTGTTCCTGCAACTACTACCGCTTATTTGTTCCCATCTTTATTCTCATGATCTGTGCTTAAAAAGTTCAAGAGTCTCAGTCCTCAAATGGCAGTATAAATTTGCTTTGGTCTTTTTCTGTTGTTTTAATCATGCATATAATACATACAATTCAATTTTCAAAAACTGCAAAAAAGGTGAACAATAGAGTTCCCCCCTTGTGCCCATGATATGGACTTATCAATTTTATATGAAGTTGACACGCACAAAAAAATCCGTAAACAGACACCCAAAAATATCTGGCAATGACCTTCAGAGTATGGAAACAGCATGAAACAGCTTTTGCCTGGAGACTCTCAGAATCTCACTAGTGGCACAACTTTTACAGAATTCTGCAGACTTTTAATGTCAGATTCTAGGTATTTAAGCTTGGGTCCTTATACCTCTGATCCTTTCCATGTTACCCGGAAAATACAATACTCATTTAAAAAAGTTCTACTCACCGAGTGTCCTGATAATGTCGCTTGGAGTGCTGGGTAAACTGGATCCAAAGGAATTTGCTGCTCTCACTGCAAATTGATACTTGGTATTTGGAAGAAGTCCCTTTAGAACCATGGATTCCATCTGGATCTGCTCTTTTATTACTGTCCAATTGCTGTCAAGGTCAGACCTTTAGGATTAAAAATCCCAAAATAATAAATAAAGTTAATGATACAAATTAATCATCTTTAAACTTTCAAGGGAAATGTAGATGATTACAAACCTGAAAATCCAAAACTGAAATCCTCTATTATATTCTTAGGTTATTCATGAGGTCAGATTGGGCAGATCTTACTTAACTGAGAGCCATTGAATCACAAGAGTAACACTACTCAACATGGGGAAGGGTGCCGGGATTGGAAATGTAAGTGTATAGGGAACCAATAGATTAATTTTGTTCATAATTATTATATAATTTAGGGGCCACCTTGTCAGCTCATGTAAGCTAAGCACTTTTTCTTACACTTTTTTTTAGTATATTTGATGATCACCGTTTATAAGTAGGGGTGTCTTCATAGGACAACCAAATTCAATCCAAGTGCAAGTGACACTTTGTTATGCAAGGGGAAATTCTGATTTTATTCAATAAAATGTTGCACACCAAAGTCAACAAAATTATTTCAGATTTACATTAGTATAACCAAGATCAGAATCTACCATGATAATGGCTGAACTACCAAATGATTAAGTATCCATTAACACAACTGCATGTGAAAACTCAGAGCCAATTTCTTCTCTTCTTTACAGTGGCATGACTCTTGAATCTGAGAGGAAAACCAGCCTTAAGTATGGAGCTAGTAACACAATTCCCATCCCTGTTTGTAGCAGATATATGGTTAAAATTTGACTTAAACTGGATGCAGAACACCAGTAATTGCTTGTCTTGATTGAACTAGCAGTCCAGTTGTGATCATTCACATGAGAACTTAACCCTCACAATGCTCAAGGGAAACTAGAGAAATTTCCTTTTACATGTAGTGGGATTTTTGACTCATGTATTGTGTCTGCCTGTACAGTACCTCACTTTAGGAGACGTATTCTGTTACACTAAAATAAAAAAAGTAAATGTAAGTAAACAAATGTAAACATCAGAAATGTACATGAGGCCAGCTTACCAAAAATATCCAAAATGAAGTCTCAGAAAATAAAATAGAAGTAGAAATGACCTTTAAGATAAAATTATTCTGGCATTCTTTTCTAAGATGTCCTTGTCATATTTATTGCAGGAAATAACCTCCAAGTATTCCCTTGCTTGACTATAGTTTACATAGGACTGGCTAGAAATATTTCCAAGCATCTTCTAATAACATTTATACCACAAGGCAGGTGGTTTGTATTTCTTATTTATTTGTAGCTGGTGAAAACACCCACAGTTTATGCATGTTTTCTTTTATCAGACAATACAAGATGTATTGATTCACCCAGGGTTTAGTTCCTTGTGCCAGCAAGGCAGATGCACTGATAAAACAGAAGTTCACACTTACTGCTTGACTTCTGATTAGGGAACACCCCAAGAACTAGCAATCTAAATATTTGTCTCCCTAATTGCAGAAGGCAGAAATCAACTTAAAAAAAAAAAGTTACACAAATGTGAAAGATGTGATGACTCAGGCAAAAACAGTTCCCTTTACCATTCTATCATATTAGAAAGAGGGAATTTATTTGGCTTTCCCACATGCTCCTCCTTCAGCAAGAAGATGGAGAAGCCTTCTAAACAACATTTTTCCACTCGACTTTCTAGGAGGCCTGGGCCAAAATGAAAACACACCATTTTTTTCCAGGTTAAAGGCTATGCTTACCTTTTCTTATAGCTCCTTGTTTAACAGCATTCTCCACTCCCCTGTGCTTATTATAACATAACCAGTTCCTGCCCATTAAAAATGACCTTGGGAATGCCATGCAATAGATACCACAACATATGCACTGAGCATGGGAATACACACATCTGACTGAGGAACCCTATGGAGTCATTGCTTGCTGAGAGCAAATTGGGGAGATATGCTCATTCTCCAAAGATCCTAAGACAGGCTGCTGACTTTTCCTAATTCCATTTTGCAAGGTTCCCTTCCAGAACAATGAACGACAAAGGAAGTGTGCTCAAAATCACTAAATATATGTAAAAAAAATAAAATATAGTAATTTATCATCGTTTGACCTCCACTTTCCAGACTGTCCAACGTATTAACAAATCAGTACAGCAGGACAAAATAGCAAACAGATGGACACAAAGTTTTACAACAAATTGAGATATTAATAGATCCAGATTGAATCAATTTCACTATTTTTTCATTCTTTGCAGTTCATCTCCTAATTAACCCTCTTGCCTAAAAGTTCAATTTATGTCAACTTTTAGATCACTGTGTTTGAGTTTGTCCTTAGTCAGGCAGCTCACCACAATATACCTTAGGAGGAGGAGAAAGGCAGAGGACTTCCATGGCTCTTTTTGATTTTAAAGTTACAGCTGTGCCTCTCCAGTAACCGAACGGAGAAGCCGCATGCAACAGAAGACAGAATTTTGCCAGAGAACAAAGAGAACCAGATCGCTTAAAAAATAAACTATGTTGGCCAAATCAGCAGGACTGGATTGGTACAACTAAGAGAAGAATTTTGCCCGGTGCATGCTCAGAATGTCGGGGTTGCTGCGTTACAGTGAATTTTAAAGTTTGACTGAGCTTAGAAAAAGAAAGTTTTCTGTTACAGAAAACACCTATTTCATAAGCAGTGGAACTTTCTTTTAAAATGAACAGGGAACAAATTACCAGAATTAAACATCTGCTAATAATCTAAATATGATAGATTTTCGGTTGTTCCTCTATGCTAAGTTTTACTCAGTCCAAGTAACGAAGATCAGATCTGCAAAGTCTGACCTGTAATGTTCTCATGCATAATACATCCAATAAAAATACAGTAATTTTCATTTGTCTTGGAAAAAATACTCTGCATGTGAAGCAATTCTCCATGGGATATTAATCTTACTATAATCATTATTTATCTCTCTGATATTGCCTAAGGACCCCAACCAGGGCCCCACAATGCCTTAACAGCATTATCCAAAACCACTTGTCACCCAGAGAGTAAGTTTTGTCCAAGACACTACAGACTTTCTACAGAAACTTAAAAACATAGGCCACCTTCCCAGCAACACCCCCCTAGCCACCATGGATGTTACCAGCCTATGTACCAATCCCCACACCAGGATGGCATCCAAGCCTGCCTTACAAATCTACAAGAGCAAGATTACAACTCAGATTACAGACCCAAAAATATTACTGACCTTATATACTTCATCCTCACACACAACAATTTCACTTTTAATAACCAACACTTCCTCCAGACCATGGGCACAGCTATGGGAGCCAAAATGGCCCCACAATATGCCAAACTTTTTATGAGCCACCTGGAAGAAGACTTCCTCAAGGACTGCACCATCAAACCCTTGCTATACTTAAGATACATCGATGACATCATCATTTGGACTGAAAACCTGCACTCTCCGATTGAGTTCCATCAGAAATTCAGCAATCACCATCCCTCCATCTGACTATCTCCTGAATACTTCGGCACCAACATCTCCTTTTTTGACACGATGATCAGCACCCATAATGGCAAAAATACAGACCTTGTTATATAAGAAACCCACAGACCAACATACATATGTGCACAGAACCAGCACTCAACTTAACCACATCAAAAAAGCTGTGATATACAGCCAAGCCCTCAGATACCACTGAATTTGCACTGAGGAGAACACCCGGGATCGCCACCGCACCAATCTTAAAAAGGCTTTCACCCAACAAGGACACTTCTCCAGAGAGACAGATCGCACGTTTGAAAGAGCCACCTGGATACCACGTGAAGAACTGCTGCAGTACAGAAGAAAACCCCCCACAAATCGCACACCGC